AATGCGTTCAGATTTATTACTATACTTGTACATATATTATTACTCAACAAACAGACAAATATTTTAATTAGAATGGCTTGAAATATGCGGCAAGGTAATAATATTTAGCATTGACATGCAAAACGGCATTGAACTTCAATTTCAACAAAATATTATAAGAAACTAAACGGTACAATTAATTTAGTTAGTTAAACCCTGGGCTACTAACTTAATTGCAAACTTGAAAAAAATACAAATATCACACCAAGATTTATTCTCAAAGCGCAGAAAAAAAGATAAAAAAATACCAGACGCACTACCAAGTTAAGGAAATCTACTTAGAAAACTGGTTGGACTTGGAAAAAATTGAATGCGCACCGTAAACGTCAATTTAAGCGATATTAAGCACATTCATGCTCGCTTCAAGAGCAACTGGGCAAAAGAGCAAACCGAGTGCAGAACATAAAAGTTTTATTTGCTTTTTATTTTTGTTATATCTAACATATGTACTTGTATATACGAGTATGTATATAAAAATGTGTAAATGTAGTTTTACATCTTTGTATATATATATATGAAAGTAAAAAAGTAATTAAATATGTATTAAACAATATTAATTTAATTGTTGCTTTTAGTGTTTATATAAAAGCTCAAATCTAAAAAAGATGATTGATAACAGTTATACACACAAAGTACGAGTATTTAAATTGTGCATGCGGTAATGTTATATAAATTACATAGTGATTAAACCAGTTGTCCGTAGCATTTTCTGTTGAAACCACATTAAATGCTGTAATCATGAGTCAGCTTTTCGATTATTCTTTTTTATTTAAGAGCGTTCGACTTTGTATTAACTGTTTTATTAATTTATATTGGTATAGAAAATGCAATTTCATGCGTGTAATTTCAGTTAGTAGTACGTCTTAAAGCTCTTTTTATCTAATTATTCTTTGTTAATATCATTATGTTATTAAATGAAAAAAAAACTCTTGTATATTAACTTTGACTTACAATATTATTTTAAAATAATATGCATATATACAAATTAGTATGAATATATTGTATAATATGCTGATTTGTCGTTTTTATTTCTGACCTGAAAAAGCTTCCACAAAATAACCACAAGTAATTCCACTGCAGTACTCTCTATTTGCTAGACAAGCTATACGAAATGTTGCAGAAGGTGATTGAACAAATATATGTCGAAGCGTAAGTGGTACAAAAATATATGAGATAATTGAGCAAGATATTTTTCATTTACCAAAAAAAAAAAAAAAAAACTAAAACTATACTATTTTCAAAAAATATGTTCTACTCAGATGTACAATTTCTGTGGCGTTGACCAGTACAATTCCATAATATAGAGCAGCCAAGCCACTCTAATTTCACTTGATTACCTACCGTTTTAGTTTTGAAATTAGCATTATTCTAAGAATGTGTTTGCTAGCATTACTAAAGAGTTCTCTTCCAAGACATATCAGATTGTTATAGCATTGGACGAAGGTTGCTTGTTGATTGATCGGCAAAATTTCATCAACTAATGCCACAATGAAAGCCTATCCGGATTCTACCAACATTCATTCCTAAATTGTCGCGTCAAGTGTCAAAGAACTGTCAAAAGTTCTCATGCCAGTACAAATTGTATTACGCATCCCAGAAAAACTCTGATTGAAATTACAACCTTTGACATCGCAAAATGGCTTGTACCTGAATATCTTTATAAGCTGATTGAAGTATATTCATTGGCATTTGCATTCTAGACATCAATTATTCGTCGTGACTATAGTTAGAGTATGTATCTACGTTTTTTTGCTCTTAAGTACAATACGACCAATTATTTCTCTAAATGGCAAGTGTTTGATTTTTAAAATAAATATTCATAAGTAAATTTTCTAAGTACTTGCCTATGCATGTACTTTGAACTAAGGCACTTTTCTGGCTGTTAATTTAAAAATCACTGGAACTATCTTAAGTATTGTATATATGTTAATTATTGACACTATCTTTCTTGTTGGTTTATGGGTTAAAACTAAACTATATGCAAAGAAAAAGATCTGTAGTCCTGGCAGGGTTTTAAGTTTTATTTTAAAAGATGACGGTGAGCATTCAAAGTTTAAATATAAAAAAAATACGTAAAAAATCTGTTTTCATTTAAAATACGATAATTTTTGTACTATTTCGGATGAAATATTTTATCTCGAATTGCTGATTATTATAAAGCATAAGATTTCTTTAAAAAAATACCTCCGGCAGATTTTTCCACTTCAAAAATTTGTACAATATATTTAAAAGCTTCGAAAAGGGAAAACAAATCAAAATGTCTATCTATTATGTATATATTATATATTAGGATGTTCTGTTATTTCAGAAGTTTAATTCTTTTTTGAAAACGCCTTTTGAAATATAAGTTTTATGTGCAAAAAATAAATATCCAACCTAAACCAGCAATGTTTTCAATTTAAACCCTGCCTAAATGATATTTCTTTTTCCATGGATTTTGTGATCTTTCGCATTAAGTAATTTAATCTACTTTGAAAAAACTATAAAATTTTCCGCAAAATATATCTTAGTGATTTTTTCCTTAAAAACATTTCTATATATGTTATATGCATTTCAAATCATACATCAAATGTATAAAATATCATGTTTTTTAAGTTGTAGGTTTATTTGTATTGGCGATAAAAAACTTATTGAAAATTATCAAAAAATTCCATGTTAAATACATGGAAAAAGAAATTGAATTTAGGCACGTTTCAAATCAAAAATTAAGAATTTCTAAGAATATTTTTCGATCAAAAACTGAAACTTCCAGGAGCGTTTGCAAAAAATAAAATCAACATGGGCAGTAACGGACACCCTAATGTAAATATGTAAGGTTCATTGGAACCCATAAATCGAGAGCTTAGTTTTATGACTCCCTCTAATATGTTTTTGTGGGTGTAATCGTATTATCCGTGGTCCGTTTTTTAAATTTTTATTCACATACATATGTGTGACAAAATGTTTTGCGACAATACGGTACAACATTTTACATACGAGAGGTTAAGTGTTGTGTCGTGTTAAAATGTTGAAAACCCCATTCAACTGTTTTAAGAAATTTGTAATAGTTGTAAAATTGCTAAGGGTCAAGTGGTATGTACATATACTTATGTGCATAAAACAACATTTAATTTCATGAGTTAATGAAAGATGCATGTTGGCACACTTAGGGTTAACATTTATTTACTTAAATGTGTTTTATAAAGTTAACTTGGCTAGTGTTTCTATGTGACATTACTCTAACATGTCTGTTATAGCAGAGAAAAGTATTATGTCCTTATAAAAAATTATTATATTTAATGACGGTACTACAAGTCCCTTTGTTCTTGTAATTTGGCAAGTAAATATCACTCGCTTAGGTAAAAAATATTTCGGGAGTATTAAAATAATGATGAGACATATGAACTGATCATCATAGTTCTCCATACAATGACCTAAAAATTGTTTAATATAATCAAAAATCGAATTTTGCAGGCCTAATTATAGGTAGAGCTCAACTTTTTTAAATAACTCTGCCTTTTGTCATTTTGTCAATTCAAGTAGAGAATTTTTTTTAGGTTTCAACCACGGAGTATGTGCCGAAGAATCACTGCAGCAGTGGAGTACCTTTTTTAAACGCTGTTCAACTTGAATAATATTTTATTGTTTTCTTCATATATTTTTCTTAAGGTACGCATGCATATTCCTAAATTATGTAAATGAATTATCTTTATTTTATAATAAAGGCAAAAGTTATACAAGCATTTAACTATTATGATGGAAGTTGTGTGAAACTTTCCTCACTTTTCAAGGTGAACCACTTGTTGATGGTTAGTAATGTATTTGAAGAAGTAGGAAGGAACTGTCAACAAGCAAGCAACTATTGGAATTAAAATGTTTTTCTTAATTGACTGCAAAAACTAGTTTAATTCTTAAGCATACATTTTTTTTTAAATCTAATAAATATTTGTTTTTTTTTAGAATTTAGAACGAGTGTTGCATAATTCTCCAAACTGGACAGACGGGCGCCAAAATGCTAATGGCGTGCATATAAACGCAAACATATTCATGTATATATTAATTAATGAAATGGAAAATAGATGAAAGGAAAACAATTAAAAATAGTGAATAATTCAAATTGTTATGCATGCAACATGCCATGCGAGTATTTGCAATAAAATCAATGACACTTGAAGTGTATGGAAATGTACATTTGTTTAGCTGACTTATAGGAATTAATTAATTTAATATTCTTTAAATTTATTTAAATTGCCAGTTAGTTGATTAATTAATTATTGAAATATTATTTTTTAAATATTATTTACAAGTTTTATTTGAACTCTAACTAGTTTTAGAGTGATGAAACTAGTCCTAGAGGGATAGCTGTCAAAGTAAACATATGTATTTGACATTTATTTTCGGTATACATTGACATTAGTTCATGGAAAACCTAACATCGTTACGACAATTAATAATTGTGGAAATTCTTTTCCAAAACTCGCGTTCTGTGGAGTAAATTTTTATTTAGCTTTTGCCCTATTTGTTTACGACACGACCTGGCGACCTAGTATTATATATTTTGAAGAAAATTAGTATAATTCAATTTCGAATCCAATCTAACGATTTGTCTCCGTTTCGATTGAAATAATAACCTTAATATAAGTCTACCTAATAAGTCTATAAATGTCTTCAGTCTATACCCCTAAGTAGGAGTAATATAATCGCAATTTCAAACACCAATAGTAAAAATTAATCACCAATCTGTAACCTCCGATTTCCTTACATGGTCTATACATATAAGTATGTATATTATTTATTATTATTTACTCAACAAGTGTTTAAGACAACATTGAATGCGCAAATTGTTCATACGAACCCACAGTAGTTTAATGTATTTTACAAGTACAATCTCATTCGACAATCACATACATAAATACGCTTATAAATCTATATTTGCGTTTACTAACGCTTAATAATGTTAAGCAATCAATCGATTTACTCACCTGCTTCAAGGCAGTTTCCTGTGCATCGTTAATATTTGGCATGTCGGGCATGGTGATTGTACTGTCTCCTATATGGTACTTGTAGTAATCACAGTTCTATTTAAGTATGTGTTTATGTAAGTACGTAGATATTCGTAGGTACTTTAGTTTTTGACCCGTAAGTGGCGTGTAAAAATTTTAATAACAAATGTCTCTACGTTTTGTAAATATGTAAGTATGTAACTGGTAAGCGTGTTGTTCTCTAAGCGCATGCACTTGACTCTTGGAGCGCAAAAAGCTAAATGATCAAACTGGCTGAAATGAGATTCTTTTTGTTTAGCCGGTCATTGGCGGGTTGCTCAACGCTCACGTACTATGAAATTGTGCTGCTTTTTCTTTCTGGTTGTTTTGGTTGTTTAGCACTATTGAAGTATGTACGTATGTTAATTCTAGTTAGCTTTTGTTATTTTTGTATTTTTATTAATTTATTTTGCATTTTATACAGGTACTTCTTAGAGATATTGCGCTTCGCAATTCTCGTCGCGTGATTTTTTTAAATTTTATTTTTTTATTTATTTTTCTTTGTTTGTCATTGGGCTTTTTCGTTGAATTGCCAAATTTAGGTTTCACTTTGTCACATAGTATGCATATGTAATAAAGGTCTGTAGACTTTTTTGTTAAGTACTTATGTACCCATGTAAGTATCTTAAAAATGCGCAATTGTTTTGCGAGCAAAGCCAATTTTCCCTCAGTTTCTGGTAATTTTGCTTTATTATGCTGCGGAAGCAATGGGTAATTTACCGTAATCTCGTGTCTGCTCTGTTATTGTCATTAAATGCAACGGTCTCTGTAATAACTTTACCACACACACGATTTTACGCGTCAAATTGTCTCAGCATCTTCTTCACTTTTGTTTTCGAATTTTGAGTTTCGCTTTCGTTTACTGAATTATATTTCTTTCCGTATAAACTTCCACACGCTTCGTCAAGCAATGTTTAACAATTTATATTCTCAAGTTTGTGTTACAACTCCAGAACTCGTTTGGCTACGCGCGTCTTTAGTAACTAATGCGGAACTCGGCTATGCATCGGTATATAAAAAGTCTATGCTAAATGCTGACAAGCATATAGTTTATAGTGAACTTGTCTCTTGTCTCTTGGTTGTTGGCTGTTGACTGTTGGTTTGTTGACTAACTACAGCTGAGTTGCCGTGAAATGCGCGAGCGCGAGTCTTATCGGACACGGTGGTTGGTCCCAAATGTTTAGGCACTGTAGGAACTTTTTTAGTGATTAATATGGTAATTTATTACTACTATAAATATCAGATATAAATAAAAATAAGTGTAAGTATATAATAGTATAACACAGAAAACCATAGAAAAAATATCAATCTAAAGCAAAATGCTCTAAACTATATGTAATTTTTATTGAAATATGTAATTTATATTAAAAATATCAATATAGGAAAAAAAAATTTGGCTTAAAGTACACTTTAGGGTCCTAAAAATATTATTCAATTGGTAGAAAATAGCAACAAATAAAAGCTTCTCTTTCTAAATTGCAGTTGTGTCGAAGCGTTGAGTTTAAACGGTGTTTTTTTCGAGACCGCATTAATGTAAAGTTGGCAACATATGCACTTTACTACCACGCCTTATACACATATATTAAGATCCCGTTTGCTATTTTGTTTCAGATGACAGGAGTTCTTAGAATCGCCGAAAAAGGTAATTCCAAATATTTCAATATATTTTTGTTTTATTTACCCAAATACATATTTAGTAAAGCTTATGTATAGATAGACATATGTATATTAAACACTTTTATCTTTACTCCTAGAATATATTATTGAAGTTAGGCCTATTTAAGCTTCTAAACTGGACAAACTCCTTAAGTGCACTTTCGTTGTGATCACAATATCAAATTTCCTACAAGGTATTAATATCATTTGTTTGTAGTTCACATTTAATTTTTTATAGAATTATTTTAAATAGAGGGCTGCCATCTCACTCATGTAATATACAAATGTCTATAAAAATTTGAGAAATCAAATAACTTTAAGCTTTTTTAGGTTCAGAATGCTGAAGCAAAAGTAAGAAATACATATATTTGCTTTCTTATCGCCGGATAACAGGAATTGTGATTGCGAAGGTTATATTTATTTAGATTTATAAATATAAAATATATATTTAATTGGAAAAATTAAGTGTGCAGTAACTATTATGCAATTAAACCATTAATTGCGAGTTTTTTCAGTTTTCCTTCCGATATACAAGTTGACCAATTATGTTGTCAATAGATAAAAGTATACAAGTATATTTAAAAATGATTAAAATCTCGTAACATTATTCTATTTATTTCAGTAAGATTTTTTCACTATAAACTAATAAATTAAGTCTATTGCACGAATTAACAAGAATGTTTATGCTTTTGTTTACAATTTACATGCTGTTCTATGCTTCCTCTTCTCAACTCAAAAGAATTACAAAACAAAATGGTGGTTGGCGTAATCTTAAATTCTATCATTCTTGCTGTTAATACCGTTTTTTTTTAAACTTTAAAATAACGATAATTTGTAATTATTTACAGCAACTTAAATGAAGTTAAGTGAATTGCTATCTTACTTTTAGAAAATGATATGATTAAAAAAATATCTAAAGATTTTGTAAAACAAGAAAAAACGTTAACCTCGGATGATCCGAAGCTATACTACCCTTCATAATTAAACAATTTTTGTATGGATATGGATCGATTAGTTTGTATGGCAGCTACATATATTTTATAGTGGTCCGGGTAATAATAAATACATATCTTTTGATCCCAAAATAACAACCAATGTTTTGCATAAAATAATCATTATCACATTCCGTATTTGATAAATGTAATCTAAACCATAACATACATACATATTTATTTACAATAAATTTCAATACAATATAGAAATAAAACTCTTACAAGATGGCAACTCTCTTTTATATATATAATTTTAAAAAGTTCTTTGCATATTGCTTCATAAATATTGTGCTCTCAATTTTCTGCGCTCTCACTAGTTTAAACGTCTATTGCGGGCATGCGCATACAATGAGTAAATAAATAAATAAATAAGTATATTTGTATATATGTATGCATATAGGTTGGTAAGTAAGTAGTAAAGCTAACATGCATTTAGGTCGAGCTTTATATTTATTGAAGAATTTGGTTAACATCTGCATTGGAAAGTGAATATCTACATCTGTTGAAAGGGTATACATATGTTAATGGCTATAAATATAGAGAGAGTAGATGATATATTTGCGTAGATGCCAACCAAAAAGACGATTGAAAAATTAAATTTTTATTCACACTTTTGTACTTTATTGTTCTGTAAATATGATTTAAAATTGTTTTCTGTTAAACTTGAAGCTGTAACGACCGTAAAGTTAAACGGCCTTAAACTGTTACTTCAAACAGACAAGTGTCTTTGTTGGTTTATGTGTGTAAAAAGTCAATATGAATTATATTTGTAAAGTCTTATTACTTCTTTTTTTATTTACCGTAATCAATATTGTGCGGCTACAAGTGCGCTTATCTTTATTGGTTGGGATAATCTCAATTTCATAAAACATTATTTGATAACTGCTAATACGAGAGGGATTATATATTTACATACATATGGACATATGTACATATATGCTTTATTGTTTATAATGCAGTGCTGTTAATAATTTATCAAGCAAACAATGCAATTCATAAAGAACCGAAAACAAAGAGTTAAGTCGAAGAGTCTCAGCAAGAAATTGAGAGCAACGCCATTCAATATTTACTTGTTTGTACTTTGTAGGCAAGCACAAAGAACTCAGTCATCATGTAGTTCAAGATCGTATATTATATGTTGGTTCATATAGTATAGTTCCGATAAAATGCCTTTTGAGCTCGGCTGTTAAGATAAAAGTAAATCTAGTATATCCAGATATCACCAAATTCTCATATGTACGAAATGTGTTCAGAAAATAACGGGAGTTAAAATTTAAATTTTCGCGGTTTTGGATAGTACAATTGTAATTTTTTTTTATTATGTTGATATATAAGTATATATACATCATTGCTTACTTTGTCTGTAGCTCGCTAAAGTTCAACGTGTTCTTTTTTGAGCTTAGCGATTTTCGTTTTAAAAGCCCAGACTTCGTTGCTTGTTCGTGAATTTTTGTCCAAAATTAATACTGTAACGATGTGTGACTTTTTCCTTAGAGAATCTTAAAGGGCGGTCGTTTTACAAGATTGATGAAAATCGCTGAAAGAGTCTTTCAACGATTGGAAGAAGCGCTGGCATAAGTGCATTATATCGAATGGGGACTATTTTGAAGCCAATAGCAGTAATGTAGACGAATGAATGAATATTTCGATTCGATATCTGCCGGTTTGTGTGAACCGTCAGATGTTCAATACCTCATTAACATCCATACGGTTGATTAAGTTTTATCTCTTATTGATAAAAATGTTTTGATACAAAAACGCATTAAATTATACATATGTATCTACAACATTTTCGCGTGTGGTGGATGACCGAAGTCACTGAAACTTTTATTTCAAATAAAAAAATAACTCTGAATGATTGAAATTGATAATATTTCGGCTTTATTAGTTCGCAATTTGTATGGCCTTTGAATAAAATTGCAGGTATATAGTCACCTCGATTTCACCATATGAAAATTACCCTATCGGTCCACTTGGTATCACTTTTTCAGTAATAGCCAGCTTTACTTCGATTATATACAGTCCTTTGTAAAACCTGATAAAAAATTGGACATTATTTCTCAACAAAGCGCCTTGAACTTATCACAAATCTGCTTAGGTGCTTTATTTCTATATCCACTATTTATGTCTAAAAGTATGAGCGACGGGTATTTTAGTCTTGATCCGACAAAACATGACATTTAAGAAGGAAATGTTGAGATGATTCTATTTCATCCTCCTTCAAGCAGTTTACGCAACTAGCGTTCGGTAAAATTTCCACTCTTATCGCATGAATCCCAAACGCATAGTGTCCAATTAGAACTTCTACAACTATTGAAAGGTGAACTTTTCTGAGTTAGAGGTCTGAAGGACTTTGCGACTGTACAGTTCTTAGTAGCTTACCAGCGATTATCGATTTCGTTTGAGACCCCCAACCAGCCACTACAAGAAGTCAGCGGAGACCCAATCCGTTTCCCCTCTATAACTAGTGAGACTCAAGTACTTGATGTACCAAGTTCTTTAGCCTTACAGTTTCCTGCAATTCCGCTGTGGCCAAGCAGCAATACCAGTCTTATCATGAAGTCATTCGAAACCAGAGATAAGGACATCCCTTCATTAGTCTCGAATATACAGCGTCAGCGAGCTCAACGTTAACTTCACCTCTCTATTATTAGAAAGGATAATCAACACTCTGAAGAAGCCTGCGCTGCGGAGCAATACATCTAGTGCTATCTGAATGGCATCCAAATCCGCTTTGAAGACCCTTCAATGGTCAGTAAGCCAGAATCTGTAGTTGATAGATGGTTACCGACAGTATATTTCTCCACCAAGTGTAATTCTCCAAAATAAATGTACTAAATATAATTGCTAAAAACATATTTTTACTTTGACTGAAAAAAATGACTGAAAAAACTTTCTAGAGAAACGTAGAACTGTTCATTGTAGACTGTCAGTGTATGAAATAAGTAATAAAATATTTACAAATAAAACATCGACGCCTCTTGTGACACTGATTGTATTGGAAGCCGATATCTCCGACAGGAAATGTCATTTACTAGAAAACCCCATGCTCCATTTATATTGCGCTCTAACAAATATTAAACAATATTTAAGTCAATTTACTCATATCTTATGTTCATTTGTTTTTACGACTGTGTACTGATGTTATAAAAATCAATTAGATTGCCTCATTTTAAAAAAATTGTCCTAGTATTGGTAACTCATTACCATATGTTTTAATAATAAGTAAATATTGTAAAATTAACAAGCATATTTTTTTTTTATCAATTAAAAGCGTGAACATTTTTGTGAGCAATTGAAACTTTGTTAGCCAAGATATAACCTACAAGTATTGTGAATCAAAAGCTTGTATCAAAATGTGGTTTTGTGCTTTTAGGTACACATAGCGGTTGCTACAACTTGAAAATACATGAACCACAATGACGAAAACAGTGGTGTTATAGATAAAAGATACCTTTACATATTGCATTGCTTTTACAGTTATGGTATTTATCAAAGTTTCACACCAATAAGTTACATACCCATTTCCGGTAGGTGACTAAACTAGC